ATATTATTGTAGTGTTTAGCCAAAACAAAATTATTTATTGTAGTGGGCCCTAAGAATAAAGATATTCAAGAAAAATAAATCAAAACTACACAATTTTAGAGGTTTTTTTTTTAGAAATTTACAAAATCACACCGTTTCATCAATGTGAACAATCAAAATATCGGAAAAATTAATGATTAGGAAAAAATTGGGAAGTTGGGATATAAAAAAGAAAAAAGTATTAAAAATCCATGCCCTTTTGGTGTATCAGCTTTAATGTTTATTATTTGTAGAGGAGAGGACATGTTATCTAGAATCTAGTACCATCCCTTGATGGTTGTTATATCTGTAAAATCTGCGGTTAATTAAGTTCACGCCACTGCTCTTAAAAGTTCAAACCATTTGTTCGTTGATTGTGGAAACAATGTTATTTAGTTGGATACATAACCAGAAAATGAGGCAATTGATGATGAGCATCCATTTCATTCGAGATATCGTTGGTAAAGCTGAATGTAAATATTGCTTCTTAAGTTTTGCTTTTTCCAATTCTTACTATAAGCATAATAATAAAGTTAGTTAAAATTAGTCATTTATTATAAAATATCAAAGTTATCCGCAATAAAACTCATGAGTTAGACGAGTTTAATTAGTTAATTAGTTAGGAAGTTTTACAGTTAATAAAGGATGCTAAGCCCCCAAAAAAATTAATATATATGCTAGAAGTACCTTTTTTTGCCAGAATATATGCTAGAATTAAAGCATTGGATTAAGATGCATCAAATTTATTTGTACTCTTTTGATCCTATTTAGAGGCGAGAGAATTTTTCTTTTAGTTCTATTTATAAGTCACTTTATTAAATTTTTAGCATCAATATTCTATTTTGTCATTTATTTATTATAGTGTAGATAGTTATTTTTTAAAAGATGTATATATTAAATAGGAAAAAATTGAAAAGTTGTTATATTTTAATTGAAAATTAATGTTGTTTAAAATATTCTTTAATCTATGTGAAACATGCTGAAAATATCATATAAATAGAATCAGAGGAGTAGAATTTTCTTTTGGCCTATTGGCTCAACTATCTTTTTCATACTTAGTAATTCATTAAAATTATCATTTCAGATAATAAAAAACTCCACTTTATTCTTGTACCCCACGGTCCCAAGATATTAAAAAATGTCATAGGTTACGAGGTTCTATCAGTGTCATTTCATTGCTGAGTCAAAAAGGAAACAAAAAATAGTATGAACATAAATTCATAAACGTGGTGAAGCCTCCACCAAAAGAAAAGAGTATTGACGGAGTCACAAGATACGGTTGATTTTGGTGAAGCCTCCATCAAAAGAAAAGAGTATTTCTGCGGTCACAAGATACTGCTGATTTTGGAGTATCTGTGTGAAAACCAAACTATAATTTTAAAAGTAATTTTATGGTATATAAAGTAATTATACGAGAAAAGTTTTATTTTGTTATCAAAATTATCATGTCAGATCATATAAAAGTCCACTTTATTCTTGTACCCCACGGTCCCAAGATATTAAAACATGTCATAGGTTACAAGGATCTATCAATGTCGTTTCATTGGTGAGTCAAAAAGAAAACAAGAAAAGAGTATTGACGGAGTCACAAGATACGGTTGATTTTGGTGAAGCCTCCATCGAAAGAAAAGAATATTTCTGCAGTCACAAGATACTGTTGATTTTGGAGTATTTGTGTGAAAACCAAACTACAGTTTTAGAAGTAATTTTACAATATACGAAGTAAGTATATAATAGGAGTTTTATTTCAATTTGTGTGAAAGATTTTGTGGTTTGATTATTAGTTACTCCTATGCTCCTTAAAGTAAAACCTAATTAACTAATTTGAGTAGATTAAGAATGTTAGTTGAATTAGTTAATATACTATGCTTTTTCTGAAATACTTTAAGCATCTTTTTTAATTTTCTTTCTCCCTCTTCTACTTGATTATTGTTTGGGGAACATCAATAGAGTTAATTTGAGAAAAAATTAATAAACATATGAAATAGGTCTTACATTTAAAACTAATATTATCTTCCTAGTTAGGTCAATCATTATAGACTAGAGGAATATTTTATATTCATTTTTATTATTTTTTTAGTATTTTTATATTGTTTGATAACTTAAATATCTAATATGGATCACGTAGATTATCATTTTAAATATATCTAGGTTAGGATCAGGTTTAAATTAGTCTTTTATTTTTTTTCTTATTTGGTTATCAGGGTGCTGTAATTATAAATGATTAGTTTTTTATTGTTATCATTGCAGTTTTTTATTTTTTTTGTTTTATTTATTTCATTGGCCTTTTTATTATGTTTAATTAATAAAACTAACTAAAATCTAAAACGCATAGACATTTTGATGTAGCGTTTTTTATGAGATTGCTAAGGAACTCTCAATGAGGCTCTCAAGAAATTCCCAGGGTGCCTTGTGGTATACGCATTAATTTTAGGAAGCATTATATACTGATTTTTTATTGGAAAAAAGACTAAAATATCCTTAAAAATGCTAAAAGACAGATTAGGGTGGGTGATTTTCAAAATTCCAAATCAAACCTCTTATACCATTTTGAAAATTTAGAATATTGTAAAATAACAACATTGTCCTTACTCCCAGTGACTTCTTTTACATAACTATTAACTACTCTAGTTTAATTATTAATCACTTTTGTTTTCAAAGTTCTAGTTACTACTTCTGCATAACCATTAGCTATACAAGAGTTGTAGATAACTAAACAAAAAGTAGTTATTAGATCTCCAACAATACTTAATGCAATTTTTTTTTTAATTTTTGGAACAAAGTAGTCAATAACGAAACTAGAGTAGTCAATAGCTAAATAAGAGTAATCACCAAATTTTTTAAAATAAAAGTATTCAATCACAATACCAAAGTAGTCAATAGCTAAAAAAGAATAGTCATTGGAGTTAAAAATAAATGTAGTTGAGTAGTCATTGGAGTTAAAAATAAATGTAGTTGAGTAGTCATTGGAGTTAAAAATAAATGTAGTCAATAACTAAAAAAAAATAGTCAATATATAAGAAAGTAATCATCAGAGCTCTAGTGAGTAGTCACTGGAGTTCTAGTGGTATGCCGCCAACTCTAGTTTGGCGTTGGTGGACGGAAACCAGCCAAGGGTGCTAAGGTGGTCATTTCTTTTAAAAGAAAAAAATAGTGAAGGGCATTTATGTAATTTTATAAGATTTGAAAATTCCAAAATAGTAATAATGATCTAAATTGAGATTTTAAAATTTATCCACACTGATTTGTCTTTTAACAATTTATAGGGTATTTTACTGTCTTTTTCTTTTTTTATTTGTCATCCTTCACCAAATAGAAAAAATTTGCATACTCACAGAAAGGTCAAACTCAACCTCTTACTTAAGCTAAAATCTAAGAAAGTGTCTGATATCATTTGAGCCAAATAACGCACATTATATAATTGGTGTATTGAATTAACATAGTTTCATCCTCTATTTTAATAAAATTTAATTATTTTTCCAAGTTACAATTTCAAAATTTAATTTCTACGTAATTACCTACTTACTCTTTATGAGTTATATTTCAAAGAGAAGGTTGGAGTTTTCTTTGATTTTATGGTACAAGCTTATACATTCATGACATATGTGTGCGTCCTTCTTCCATGCTGAGATAAATAATAATTTAAAATTTCACAAAAGAATAGAAGAAAATTACGTTTTTAGTCATTTAGCTTTAGACATAAAAGGTTTCATTTCAATCTCTTAATTTTATAAACAATATTCTCAATAATGTTCTTAACAAAAAATGTTAATATTAAAATTTTAAATATTAACAAAATATTATTGAATGCTACTCCTCCGTTCCTTAATATAAGATCTAATTAATTAATTTGAGTAAATTAATGATATTAGTTAAATTAGTTAATATGATATAATTTTTTCCTAAAACATTCTAATTATTTTCTTTAATCTCTTCCCCTCTCTCTCCTACTTGATGATTATTGAGGGAATATGAATAGGGTAAATTTGAAAAAAATTGATAAACATGTGAAATAAGTCTTACATGCAAGACCAACATCAACTCTTAAATTAGGTCATACATTAAAGATCAAAATAGTAATATGTTAAGTTTGATTTTAAAAAGTAGTAAATATTGGCACGAAAAGTCTTGTTTAAAGTTCATAATATTAAGGTTAGAAGATTTGAAAAGATACTTAATAAAATTAATGAACAAAACTAGATACACTTATATATTTTTCTTCCTAATTTGTTAGCCATGCTGAAATGGCTTGAACAAATTGAAGGTTTTAAAACCTATGAACTGCAGCTCTATTGCTAACATGCCAATACAACTGATTTTATTATGAATATTACCTTTTTTTTTTTGGACTCAGATCTTATTATGAATAGTTCAACCGCATCATTTTTGCAGCCCAAAGCATCTATACATATACATGGCCTTGTTGATAGTTTGATCTACAAATATATGTGATTCTGTTAACTGTGAATGTAATCTCCCAACTCAAAAGTAATTTAACATTTGCGGAAAAGAAAAGTCATTGTGAAATATTCTTAGTTTAATATGATATGTTCACCTCAGAGTAATTGTAGCCTGGAAGTCGCAAGCTTCCACTAAATAGAAGCATCAGAAGATTTTCAAAGTATTACAATTTCCAATAAAAAGAACAGACACGAGAACTCTTAATTAAACGACGAACATCATCTGCGATATTTATTTTCCACTTATTCTTGGAGGGTAAGGAACTCCCATGATGACCCTACAATCAATATATATCCCACGCAGATCAGAAAAACAGAAACTTGTTGAAAAATAAGATTAAAGGAACTAAATAATGACGAAATAATTAACTAGATGACTCATTCAGTTTATTATTTCTCCCAGATCAAACGAGACTTGATGACTTAAGAACAACTAATTATATCTACCAAAGTCTTAAAATCTTGTGGAGCTTTTCCGTCTGCCCCGGAAGTAATTTTGCATTGTCCTTTTCAACTTCAGGGCATTTTCCCTGATTTTCTCACCTTCTTCCTCAACCAAAATCAGATTCAAGCTTCGAATCAATCCATTTTCGGTGAAAACCTACCTTCTATTTAAACGCCAACTTTCCATAAATCCACCACTGCTCTTGCAGCCATTCCATGATCTCCAAAGAAAGGCCTACAAATCCTCGGCTCACCGTTGGTCATGCCCTCAATCACTGAGCTACTTCCATAATGGGTCACAAACACTCCTACAGATCCATGTGCTAAAACCTGAGCCTCAGGAGCCCGAGGAACTATTTTCCCTCTTTTGCTTGTCCTGTCAACAAACCCATGTGGCAACAGACACTTTTGATCATCCTTTAAAGACCATAGAAATGGAAGCCCACTAGCTTCCAGTGCATCTCAAACTTGTAGAAGCTCATGATGGGGAATGGGAACAACAGTTCCAAAGCTAAGATAAGCCACTGATCTAGAACCATGCGGATCCAACCATCGCAAGCAACAATTGGTGTCAGTATGGGATTGTGACACACGACCAACGTCAAGCAGTGACTTGAATTTGGACATCATCTCCAGAACAAAGAGAGGAGAGTCTAATTCCTCGTAGAAAAACATAACCACTGATCTTGCTTGAGGTAGCAATCCCATAGAAGTTAGTATTTTACTAAATACTGTCTCTTTATGTTCTTCGCCGGTTTTGAGTGAGAAATCATGTGGTAAATCCTCAACTCAAGCGGGACAAAACAGGAAGGAAATCCAAGGATGTGTTTGTGCGTGGTTCATGAGAATCACTGAACTTGTGGCGTATTAAGTGGAGTGTAGAGATGAGGAGAGACTGAGATTGAAAGTGCGCGCAGGCCAACATTCAACCCAAGGGACATTGAGTTTATAAGACAAAGAAAGAGAAGGACTACTCATAAAAGTGTCAGAAACAATAATGCAAGTGACTCTCAGGTTTGTGCTTTTCACTGCCAAATCTATAGCCTGTTCAAGGTTCTCGAGACTGGCCTGAAGAAACAAGTCCACCAGAACTGGAACAGGCAGGAACGTGCCTGGCACGTGATCCTCTGGAGCTCCATCGGACACATTGTAGGGTTTGATGTTGTGTGGGATGTTTGGTTGGTCGGAGAAGAGAGACTGGTTTGATTTTGCAGTGTTGATGAAGGAGAAAGTGACATTGGAGCAGCAGAAGCTAATCTGATAGCCTGGTTCAGAAGAGCCATAGGGTGGCTCGCAAAGGGGAAGGCAATCAGTACAACGTGTTTATTCTCATCACATAATCAGTTGCCATGTTTAGTTCGGATAAGCCACAAGAAACGAAGGTAAAGGCACGCCCACGCGCACACACTCACAGTTTGGGAGCTTGTAAAATGTGAAGATAAATGTACGATGTTCAATAATATATAGAGAAGATGTGTATATGTGTGTTGATGAAAAGATTTGTCACAATTTTGTTCTGTATCTTGAGGTACAAATTTAAAGTTGTGGCTACACGTATTGTCCCCTTTGTTACCTGAACGGTCTGCGTCAAGACAATGAAAATCATCATGAGTTTACGTTTTTATTTTCTAAGCACAATCCTTCAAATATCTATGTTTTATTTTTTGCCATCAAGCTAGTCTTCTAACATTCCTATATTTCGAGGGAAAAAAACAACCGAAAAAGTCTGAATTCTACTAAGAACATGCCTAGATCCACATTCTTCAATGCATTGCACATAATATGAAAAACAAGCTATCCACTCATTATGAATTTTTTTTTAGGTACAAATATCTTTCTATTGAAAGTAATCATATTCAAGGCTTTGTTAGGCATTTATTATGATGTTGCCGTTTTGCTTAATTCTGATACACTTTGGGCCGCGGTCAACTTTCTTTTGGTTGTAGAAGGAGAGGCTTTATTTCTTGCGAATAACGCCTCTTAGCCACGTTTGGATTGATCATTGGGCCTCGGAGGGTGACGTTGGGCTATACTTTGGGTTCCAAGGCTGACCCGAGATGATTTTGAGTCCAGGTAAGTGCTAAAGGTTCAGAAAGAAAAAAGTCTAGGATCATGATGGGAGATTGTAACTCTCCAAGTGGAATTTTTTCCTTTCTGACCTCTTTATGTAAATATATATATTCTGGCCAAAAAAAAAATCATGATAAATATAATTGTCTAACACACCCTAAAATATTTTATGGTGCAATTTTTGTGTTTAAAGTATTAATTTTTTCAAGAGAAATTGTGCCATTGAAATATTCTTTCAGGAGCAATTTTAATGTCAAAATTAATTCCTCAAATAGTATGTTAAATGAATATGCATCAAACACCCTAATCAAAGTAGACACTCCAAAAAAAAGTAATTTAGGGTGTTGGATTGGATGAACTATAAAATACTTTAGTGTGTTGGACACACTCAAAAAAATATTTCAGGTGCCGAATAAATCATAAAATATTTTAAGATATTGGCGTATCCTATAGTATGCTGAATGAACAATAACACCCCACTCCACACACATATCTGTGAAGTTGCAAGAGTAATATGGCTCTAGGTGTTAAAGAATAATTATATAGACTGATTTTTGGATTACCTCCTATGGGCAGAAAATTAAATGGCGAAACAGGGAAATCAATAGTTCACTGATGGAAAAAGATACAGATTATGGAATCTGCATGCTTTTATATACATCAATATGATAGCTCGCATATATACTTGAAGATATTGAAGAACAAGATTGGTATTGTTGTTGGGTAAAGAGACGTGTTATTCTTTATTGTTATGTCCAATATAGAGCCAAATGCATAAATTTCTTGGGGCTCACCATTATAAGTGAGACTGCTCGCTAACCTAGTAACCTTTGTGTTTCCATTTTTCCACGTGCAGGGAGAGAAACAGAAGCATATTTATATCCCTCATGTTGGAGAATAATGAATTATATATTGATTATGTATTTTCCCTCAACTTATCAGGCAATAATGCTTTACACACACACACAAAGGGTGCCTTTTTTATCTGTATATTGGCTGATATATATATATATATCGAATTAATTTGACAAAATATTTTACTATATATTATATACAAATTGTTTATTCTTATTAATAACATCAAATCTTATTTTATCTTAATTTCTAAATTAATTTTCTTAATATTTATAGGACAATACTTACATCAAGTTCCTTATGCCTATTATATTAAGTTTTCCAATTATACATAACTATGTGTCTTATTTTTAAAATATTAGCATTTAATAACATTTAATTATAAATCCACATAAAACCAAAAAAAAAAAAACACAGCCAAGTATGATGGGAGAACTCGACATAATAGATAGCAACTTGACATAAGTTTTTTTTTTTTCATGTTTATATCTAAAATAAAATATCTTAACATACGGTTCGATCTGCAAATCGATAAAAAAAATTTCAATCATTGAAGTTAATATCAGCTATGGATGAATATGTACTAATAAATCTGTGGAATTTTTTTTGTCTGAAAATTTTTAATAGATTTGAGGCCACAGAAACAAATAACAATCCCAAATTCTGTCACAAACCTCGAATTGGTCATCCAACAAATATTCATCACTTCTTGCTCTTAGGCTGATGAGAAGAATTAGGGAGCCAAAAAGAAAAATAAAAAGGAAGCATCCTTTTGGTGGGTCCCGAACTTCCAAGATATTAATAAACTGCAGTGGGATTCCATAGATAAATAATTGATCAGCAAAGATTATTCCAAAATTGATTAGCCAAGAATGTGACATCAACAAGAGATGCGCAAGAAACCTTCCATATCCATCTTCAAATGGGTTCGGTAAAAGATCCACGACCCATATTCCAAGACCCGACTTCAAGCTATATAAATGCATGCATAACATAAATGACTCCCTCGTACAAAACAAAGGAGAGAAAAAACAGAGAGAGAAAATCTAGAAGAAGAAGAGGGAAATCAATCAAATATCAGATAGATATATAAAAATGTCGAGACCAGGGCGCATAAGTGAAGAAACAGTTGGGATTGTATTTCAGAGAGGAGACATAGACCACGACGGAAGTCTGGACGGCGGAGAGCTCAGGCAAATCCTTGGTGTTCTTGGTTCAGACCCTGCGGGTTACGACCGTTACATGAAAATGGCTGACAGAAACAGAGACGGAAGAATCAGTCGCAGTGAACAAGACATCCTTGTTCCTAAGGTGACGAAGCCTAAAGAAGTCCGATGTAAGTAGTTGTCTGATGATATGCCAGAGCCACAGCCGATGACGGCGACTATATAGAATAAATCTTTTAAACACGCACACTCACTCTCTCACACACCCGCCTTTCCTATATGTAATCAGTGCCTGAGACTAGCTTAGGTAGTAATATATAGTAGTGAAAGATGTACGTGGGAAGTCCAAGATTCAAATATCTTGTGATATAATAAGGGGGGGAAAATTATCTATATGGTTATTATGATTATTACGTGATATGTTTCCTTTACTTTCTTTTAACATCTTCTCGGGTGTTGATCTTTGTTCCCCCAGCTTCTTGTCCCCTGGTTATCAGTGAGTACCTCTATAATTTGTGGTTATTGTTTCAAATAGTAAAATATGGTTTCTTGTGTGTTATACACACACACGTTTAGAAATTTCCCATGCAATGATTTCACCTTTTTTCTTAAAACACGATAAGTGGTTTCATAGTTTAATTTCATGTGTGAACGCTGTGTAGCTTTTGTACTCTTATATGTTATGTTTGAATCAGCGTGGATTTAGATTTGGATTTATATCAAATATGTTATTTGGATGCAAGAAATTTTATGAATTGGGATTTGATCTAAACTAGTCAAACAAATTGTTTTATTACAATTTCTTTAGAATTTCAATTACCTTGTATATGTTAATTATTTCAAATTTCAATCATCATCTTGCACTACAACTCAAGCACGTGGACGAGTGACTCAAGTAGGGCAACTCATTTTTATTAGTGTGGATTTTTTATACTACCTAATAAACAAAGAATTTTAAATACTTGTATTTTAAATTTGAGATTTCAAATTCCAAATCCATCTA